AAGGGCCTGTGCAGAGCAATATCTTGCTCCATGGCAGCACAGCCAGAAGGGGGCCCAACATAGACAACACTGACAACAATCCAAAGGATAAGCATTGCTTTCACCTGCAATAAACAATGCACTGTAGTCAATTACTGTGCAACTATTTGTCTGCAAAATCCTGTGATTAAGTTGTAGGTTCTTCTGATCATTAAGTTTAGAGAATGACTTGTCCTCATTAAAAAGTACATGTATATAGAAAACAAACACATATCAGTGCTGCACTGGATTTTTTGTTTAAAGAAGCACTGTATATTTCACTGAGGCCCTTGATATGTACTTTAACTTCTCCAAGCAAGCGGGATGTGTTTGAATGTTCTTTTTCAGGTAAGGCTTTTGGAAAACTATTACAATATCACTTCACAAAATAATTACAGAAGTGAGTTTAGTTACAGGACTGTAAATACACAAGGGAACAACATGTGAGGATTTTTCTGTATTTTTTCTAATTTATTTATCTAACTGTACAGCCATTGAGGTTAATCAAGAAGGAGGATCTGCTTTCTCTTCTTGAGGTCTTTTTCTCCATTTTTTTCTTGACTTCCCAACTACTCCAAACACAGGGAGAGTTCTCTCATACAAATGGATTAACTTTCTAGTTTCCAAAACATCTTGATGGGCTCTTTTTGCGGTAGCTTCTGAGGAAAAGTATGAGAATTTTCTTTATTGATACACACCCTAGCTAGTTTTATTCTACATTTTTACTTCCATCCAGTGATCTTTTGTGTCTGTGTATGTATTCACATTGTTCCTCACAGAATAAATATTGTTATGAAAGTTTTCACAGAGAATTCAACTGCAGTTTGATCAATTATTTGTGTCACTGTGGTAATACGATCACTTTCCCCACAATTATAATTTTTGTTTAACAAAAAAAACAAAAAAATTGTGTGAAAGTCAAAAGAAGCTCAGTTCATACCATTAAAGAAGGCTGTGTTAATAGAAGATAAAATATGTTTCCAGAAGTTACACAACTTTGGGAGATAACACCAAATTAGATCTGTAATTAAACTGTGTTTAAACTGCCAAGAATATCATTATCTTTTTGTCAGTGATAATGCTTTAATATATCCTAAAAAGATAATACGTTATGAGTTCAAAGTTGTAGATGCAAGTATCAGTATCTACTATTAATCTTACTATGATCAATTATAATTTTACGATATAATTAGTCAGATCATATTAACACGTTACAGTAACCACTAGAATATTTTGAAACATGAGAGAACCATTGACTGTCCAGTTAACTTTATGTTTTTGTGAATATTTGTTTGTCAATTTTACTAAAAAAAAGTTAAAAAAATGAAGAATCTTTAATAAATAATTGGATAGAATGTCTAAAATCTAGATGCTAGTACTTCCATCTGTGTGATGAATTAAAACAGCATAGCTTTTCAAAAGCTGATCATGTTTTAATGCTATGAACTTTTTCTTTTTTTAAGCAACGACTGCTCTATGCTCAAGAATTTAGCTTAATTTCTCTGACTTTTACTCCAAACTACAGTACGTTGCAAGTTTCCTTCCACATCTGGAAAGAGAAAAGGAAGGCATTACGAAACAAGTCCATATTCTTAAAAACAACGGATCATAAAGTCCTGGAATGCAATAAAGAAAGGAAGACAAAACAAATCGGTGAATCAGTTTCTACAGTTTTTTAAATCTCTAAAATATGGATTTGAAAGCTTAAACAAGAACAAAAACTCACCAGAAATAAATCAAGTGATTTTCCTTAGGGTATGTATTTCCTTTGTCCTTAGGACGGCATGTGCTGTGCAAAGCTAGTGAATAAATATTGGAGTAATAAATGACACAGCTCAGCTGCCATATATCAACAGGAAAACACCCATATCGAAAGATTTAATGTGTTTCTTAATGAATTACGCGTACAGTAGGTATACATACTGTACTCTAGCTTATATGAAGAAAGAGTGTTTTCCTCCTAACAAATACCTGTTTTTGTACAAGAAGCTATTGACGGATCACATTAAGAGATGTGTGGCGTGAGTGGATGTGGATTAATACAATTATTTGATTTTATTTCTTGTAGAGTTGGGATTTTGCTTGTGTTTTACGTTGCCATGTAAAACATAAATGCATATACAGTATAAATCGGTTCCCATTAACAAAACCCTGGAGCACTGAAGAAAATTAGTTGTGTTTACATTTTAATGGGCATTTGTAGTTAGTGTATGGTTCCATCTGATTATTGCCCCAATCTTGAAGGGTTAATGGTCACAATCCAGTAAGTATAATATGTTCTTTTAATTAAGTACAATTTGATCACACAAAATATAAAAAAGAATGAAAAAAGCATTCCAACTAATGCTATTTATATATAAATATTATATTTATATCTACAATAAATACTATAGGTAGAAGGATGCACAATGGCACAGTTATTAGCGTTGTGATGCCACGCAGTGCTGGGGCCATGAATTCTATCTGTGTTGAGTTTGTATGTTCTTCCCGTTCTTCCCGTTTTGGTGTGGATTTCACAGTCCAAAGATATTTTGCTCCGTTGATTGGATTCTTGGAAGCTTGGCCCTGCTGTGAGTGTGCATGTGTGAATGTCTGTGCATGCCCTGTGAGATGGACTGCTGTCCTGTGCAGGGTGTGTACAACCTTGCGTCTTGTGTTGCTTGCTGGGATAGACTCCAGCTCCACCACAACCTTGTACTGGATAAAGTGATTAGAACATGGATGGATGTATTGGTGGGTATGTGAACGTTACCAAAAGCTTGTTAAAATGAATCATTAGAGTAAACCGAAAGAAGAGAGCACTGCTACTGGGTACAGATTCTGACAAATTAGTCATGTATAGTACATGGTATAGAGGAGGGATACCCAATCCTGATCCTACAGTGCTGACAGGTTTTCAAGGTCTCTTTAAATCAGCAGTGTCTGAAGAGATGGAAAAAGCTATTTAACTACTACAATTAAGCCAATAATGAGCTAATCCAGGTTGTTAAGCCATACTGGACTGGAAACCTGTAGACTTAAGTGGCTGCCAGCTTCTGGACTGTAAGTGTAAGTGTTTCAAAAGCCATCTATGTGCATTTCTGTAGGTCCTCAGTCTTCACAAAGTGGGCGCTCTGAAAAGGCAAAGTAAAGCTTTCAACTGTCAGGTCTTACGGTTCTTCATGCCCTTCATCTTACAGCTAGAGCAACAATAGTTCACCACTGGAATCCTGAGGCTAAATGAGAGTCCATGCAGTGAAAGTGCCAGAGAAATTCCATTCGTTAACAGATACGATAAAGGCAGCTATTTTATAGGATATTCCCGATGACTTACTCTATGCCAAAGAAAACCAGTATTGTACAAAAGTATTGAGTCAACATGCTGAAAATATCTGAGACAAACCACAAGTAGAATAAAGCAGAATATTGAGCAATCCTGGGTGATGCAGCCTTTCGAAAACTCACTTCACGCTGTTTCTCTGTTGCTCAAGCCACTGTTTTTCGATGTGACCTCAAGTGTTTGCATCGCCTATGCTACAGCCCAGTTCCCTGGCTCAAACCATTCCTGCCTGTTTTGAAATATTAGGTTTTGCTTCTTTTTGCATCAGGTTAACAGATGATATAAGAAAACACCAAGTTAAGTCAATTGAATCTTACTAATGATCTTACTAATCGTCTATCTATCCATTTTCTAAACTTGATCCAGTACAGAGATGCGGAGATAAAGGTGCCAAAAGGAGCAGGCAGTGGACAGGAGGCAGGATACGCCCTGGACAGTATGCCAGCCCATTGCATGGCACATGCAGACACAGACACTCGCACCCTTGGCCACTTTTTCCAGCGGCCAGTTAACCTATCAATATGTCTGTGGACCTTGGAAAAAAACTGGAGCACCTGCAGGAAACGTGTGGAGAACACGCAGACTCCACCCAGACAGGCCCCCCTTTCTTAACCCCAGGGCTCTGGCACAGCAAGACAGCCACCATGCCGCCCTTTATTAATCAGATTGGATGGAATCAGGTATCTTTATTGCTCAAACAAGTGATCATGTCATAAAGGATATTGTACTGATATGTGATTTGCTCATCTAAAAGGCAAACGTTCTTTTGTCCATTTCAAATAGCAATATTCAGCTGTTGTTTGTGCCAATCTATTTTCTTAATAAGCTTGGTGAGTACACATTACGTAAAGAACAAATAGCTCTGCATAAAAATTAATTATGAAACTTGCAACAATCAGAGGCTTTTTGATAGAAGATTCAAAAGCAGTGGTTAAACACATACCCCGATTTATTCTTTTATGATTGTTAACTGCCCTATGTAAAGAAACAATGATGTAACTTCACCTGCCTTGAGCCGGCTCACCCGCCCCACTAGGCCATTGTGATTAGTGGGCTGGGACAAGTACAGTGCTGTTGTACAGTCTGAGGGGACCATAACAGGGAAGCTGATGATCTGGGCCTTGGATGAAAGAAAGAGCAGTGAATTAGGTCTTTCTCCACCCTTGAGAGGCAGCAGCTTGACGCAGTGGTCATGGATACAGGGATCATAATGACCTGAATCAGAACATTATTATTTTTGTTGTTGTTATTATTTGTCCACTTTAAGTATTCAAGTGCTGTTGCTTTAAATAGACATAGAAAACCTGCAGACCTGCCATAAGTTTCTTTTTAAGATTCCTTTCTTTTTTTTGTACATCAGTTTCTGTTCCTAATTCCTGCCTTTTCGGCTCTGCATCGCTGCACTTAATACAGAATCTCTATCTTCAGTACTCACTTCACTGAAACGAAAGAACAGTGTATAAACAGAAGCAATATATATTTCCTTTTCACTGTTTCACACCCAAACCTTTAATGCTACGCTTCTGTCTCTCAAAGGTTTAATACACAGCAGAAAAACACCCATATCGTTAACTAGCAAAGTAAACGCACCCACTAGTACGAACCCAGCTTTTTGATCAGGCACGGAACAAGCCGTCTTAGTCATCTCCCCCGTAAGCATTTGATTGGTTGTGGGGTCCTCATTTCTTTCATGTACTGTAGGAAGCAGAACTGGTAGTAACGTGAGGTAAGCTTAGTACGTGTTTAATCAGAAAAAATATAATACAGTGGAAGTTGCAAATATAACTTTTTTAATACATTGACTGCAAAGATGCTGTTTTATTTTCAGTTAATTTTGTCCCATATTTCTTAATGTGAAGTACTAAATAAATTGTACAGTAAAATGCGGCTCTGTAGGTTAATGAATAGATACTAAATTTACCAATTTCACTTCTTCATGATAAACGACTTATAATATTAAATTAGTTACAGTATAAATGAGTATTTCTAAAAAACACGGTCATTTTGCGAACTTTAAGTGAAAGTAACTTACTGAGAGAGCTACTAATTCATTTTATACAAATAGATTTTTATTAACTCGTGTTTTTGTCTTATTTCTGTATACACCTGCTGTGATACTAATTTATTAGCAACTAAATGCATTACAGGCCAGTCTATGTAGGACTAATTACTGTTGAAGTTGTAGCTCGACACTAATTCTTTCGTAATGTTAGACTTTGTCCAACTACGTCGGTAGTTGGGGCATGTTATAATTGCATTTTGGTGCATTCCTGTTGTTACTGCTCTTTAAAGGGTAGCATCAGATCATTGAATTGCTCATTATTTTTTATTTTGGTGAATGCCTTTGCACTAAAAAATAATTCTCCTTCCTTTCTTCGAAGCGCCATTACTTCGGTAAAGCCTTTTGATGATTTTCCAAAACAAAAAAAGTCTTTAAAAATTACGATCAAATGTGTGTAAGATTAAGTTCTTCATATGTTTTACTTGGTGTCTTCCTGTATTTACCAACAATATGTTTGTATTTCATTTTAAGGTGTAAGATGTTTAAGGAGCTTTTTAAGGTGTTTCATTAGTTTATATGCAAGAGTTATACATTCAAGCATTGTTATTATGTCTGTACAGTGTTGACATTTTGTCCATATCGTAAAGATAGTGCCTTTCAATGGATTAGAATTCCCACATTGCTTGTTAACCTCAAAATAGTATTGTTAAATTACGTAGCCAAAGAAACTGATATATTATTGATTTTTAAATATAACTGAACATGGCAGATTTTAAAAAAGACAGGTTTCGTTTTGACCTAATTCTGTTTTATTCATATATTACTGTCTTCTCTGATAGAATGAATGCAATAAATTTCACACCTAAGAAGTTGAAACAACTTAATCTTTTAAGTTGGCATTAACAAGAAAGTAACTCATAGTTGAATGAGCTAGTAGCAGTGAGATGTAGACTGGTCAATTTGTAGCTCAGTTTTTACTGCAGGATTACTATCATCAAAAAGTTGCTACGCAGTAACACTTGTGCAGGAAGGAAGCTGTTAGAGCTGCTTTTTTTGGAAAGATAGACAGCAAAAATACAAACAATAAAACATCTTAGGAACTGGTAGCTGGTTGGCACAGTGGTCATAAAAGCTGTATACTTTTTCATGTAAATAACTTAAATTTGTTGTTCTATTTAAATATTTTCATTTTTAGAAGTTTTAAAGTCATAATAATAAAATGTCCTACTCAGATTCTTGTAATTTGTAATACACAGAGAACAACATAAGACTTGTGTTCTTTTTACGTGGAGTTAAAAATTGCATTTACGCAGCACTCTTCATCCCAAACGGTCTCATAGTGCCTCATCTATATGAGGTGACTTGCTTTAATAAGCATCCCCATTCACAATATTGGAACATGTGATTTGAATTTCTGCCCAGAGGCAAGGGTGCTACTGTTTCATCAACAGCACTTACAGCAGCAAGTATAGACTAGGCCCAGCAGTGCTTATCTTTTGAGATCTAATGAAATCAGGCTAGAAGGTGGTCACACTTCCCAAGAGTGTAACACTCATTTAGAAACTTAAGAGCACAAGAGAAGGTTAAAGAGAGTTGGCCATTTGACACATTTAGTTTAGTACTTAGCTGCTAATTGGTCCAAGAATCCTATCTCATCTTTTTTTGAAAGCAGCCATATTGCCGACTTCAACAACATCGCTGGGCAGATTGTTTCATACTCCCACTGTCCTTTGGGTAAAGATGTTTACCTAATCATGGCTATATGAGATACTTCTGCTTATTAGGAGAATATCAGTATAAGTTTAGTATGGCAGTTAATTATGCATGTTATTGTAATGTTTTGTATGTTAAGCATACTGGGAGACAATGGGACGGTCATCCAAAGACAAGAGGGATATTTATTACCGTCTGGCCAAGGAGGAGGGCTGGAGGGCCAGAAGTGCCTTTAAACTGTTGCAGTTGGATGAGGAGTTCAATCTCTTTAAAGGTACTTTTCAAACCTGTGTGCTTTCCTTTACATCTTACCGTATGATTCATCAAAGCGGATCATTTTGAAAATACTGGTTTATATGCATTTGCTCAAAACAAGGCAACATACTTGAAATAGCTCAAGTAGGTACTGTAGCTGCGTCAGCATGTGTAGGCTGCGAAGAAACAAGTAAAAGTAAAACCTTAACTTGTTCTTTTGCAACATATTTGAATATCAACTCCTAAAGTTTTTCAGCCTATTGTACTTTCTATGCTTCCCTGTACGAAATGCATATAGATCTGTGTGCGTCCAGTACTGGAAACATGATGGCCTTTGCAGTAGTGTCAGTGTACAGTGATGCCTCATTATGATTTCTTATTTATTGCACATCTCCAGTCATTGTTTACACGTCTGGATTGTTTACATTCAAACTGTCTACATGTTTACTTGTACATTGTCTACTGTTTGTTTGTATATTGTCTTGATGCACTGTTTGCACTTTGTTTTGTTTTTTACACTTGTTTTACAATCGAGAGACTTTCTGTAAGTAAGAAATCCATTGTACCAGTACCGGTTACATATGGCAATAAAGTTCAAGTTCAAGTTCTCCCACAGGAGTCTGCAGGGCTGTTGATCTCTGTGCAGCACCAGGGAGCTGGAGCCAAGTGCTGAGCCGCAAACTCCGGTAAGCCCTGTGTCCACTGTGTTCCAGGTTCTCACCATTCCAGGCGGTTCAGTGGTTACAGTAATGGGATTGTGACCAGGAGGTTCCCAGTTCAAGTCCCACCTTTGCTGTCAATTTGTGTACCTCACCCTGACCAAGTTGCTGAATTTCTTTTTGCTCCTTCCTTTGCTTGAGATACACTATCAAGCTGTTGTTAACAGTGATTCTGCAGCAGTTGATTTGGAGATTGTATTGCACCTTCTCCATTTCTGCCCCTTTCTTGGTTTAAATTTGTATGATTTATAATTGTATAATTGTACCGAATCTTTAATTGGATTCCTAAAAAGTCTGCATTGTGCTGTACTTGAGACATTTGAATCAATCGCTTTATGTAGCCATATCAGTCATTTGGGAACAGATCCTCATGTATAATGCTGACCTGGTCAATAGGCTTCAGCCCCTGTGGCAGGATGTCTGAGTGATGTGTTCGTGTACTGTTTCCAATCGGTAAAACATGGCCTGTGGTCTGTGTGCAGAGGCGATGGGGAGAGGAGCGTGGGGGTGAAGATTGTGGCTGTGGACCTGCAGGCCATGGCCCCCCTGCCTGGGGTGACTCAGATCCAGGGAGACATCACCAAGGTGAAGGGACTGCGGAGGACATGTCGGGTTGGGCGCAAGTTGGTTTGGGGATGAGTTCAAATTCAATTTGTATTACCTGCCAGTCGAAAGAAGCAAACAGGTATGGAAGGCCTGCTGTGATATTTGCTGTCGTACCACAGAAAATGATCAGACTCCCATTACGCAGCAGTTTGAGCCATGTCTGGTCCTTGCAAGTTCCATGGTCGTGTACAGATTGTGTTGATAAAACAGAACATCTTACATTGTATATTATTTTTAACTTAAAATGTATTTCAAAGCAAGTATACTTAAAATACGGTAGCCAAACTTAAATTCCCACCACATGTTATTGGTTTACCTGTGAGGGCCTGAATCTGGTAAAATCTTGATTGTGGTATGTCTCATTCCGCTGTGCAATAGAAGTCTGATCAGGCTATTTTGCTGTCTCCCTAGATATCCACAGCCCAGGAGATTATCAGGCACTTTGAGGGACAGCCTGCTGACCTTGTGGTGTGTGATGGTGCCCCCGATGGTAGGTACATGGCACTGCAGCAGTTTAATCTTCTGCTCAGCTAAAAATGCCTTTAATCACAGTCTCGAAGCAGTCTGTACAGTAAGTGAAGAAAGAAACAGAATTATAACATTCAAGAGCAAAATGTTACCTGGAATAATGGTATTTTTAAGATGGGTATTGATTGGGATTTTTGGTTCGGAAAGGACTGGATATTTGGGGCATTATTGTACCTTTGTATCAATTGTATCTGTAGTGACTGGACTTCACGATGTGGATGAATACATCCAAGCACAACTGCTGTTGGCTGTGAGTATCCCTTTACTTGCATGGTATATACTGTGATTGGATCTAGGGCCTACCCATTCTCCATGAAGGATGCACGTGCTTTTAATAATAATAATTGCTTACACTTATATAGCACTTTTCAGGACACTCCACTCAAAGAGCTTTACAGGTAACAGGGACTCCCCTCCACCACCACCAATGTGCAGCATCCACCTGGATGATGCGACGGCAGCCATAGTGCTCCAGAATGCTCACCAAACACCAGCTATCAGTGGGGAGGAGAACAGAGTAATGAAGCCAGTTTATAGGTGGGGATTATTAGGAAGCCATGACTGGTAAGGCCAATGAGAAATTTGGCCAGGACGCCGGGGTTACACCCATACTCTTTTCAAGAAATGCCCTGGGATTTTTAATGACCACAGAATGTCAGGACCTTGGTTATACGTTTCATCTTAAAGACAACGTCTATTTTACAGTATGGTGTCCCTGTCACTGTACTGGGGCATTAGGACCCACATGTCACTATACTGCTGCATTGGGACCCACATAGACTCACATTGCAGGGTGATGTGGCTGCATACATCAAAAGGTTTTCTTAATAAATTCACAAATTGGGCAGTTTTGTTTTAATTAATAATGATAGCAATATCCAACAGTTTTAGCTTTTTGCATTTGCATGTAAGCAATCACTTCTATTTTCTGTTTTGGAAAGAAGAGTCATGTAGTGCGATACGGCAATTGGATTTAGCTTGCAACAGTGAGGCCAGTCCCAGAGCAATTAAAAACAACACCAGAAAAGGGAAGATTGTTTAAAATGTGCTTGGGTTGATTATAGTCTAAATCTCAGAATTATAACGCTGAAATAACCACCTGTTTAACTAAACCTTAGTAAAATGCATACATAAATGAACAAAATATGAAATAGAGTTTGGATCATGACTTGCTTCAATGCAAATTGCTCATGTTTCTCTTTTTAATTTTTCTTGCTCTTTTTCGTTTCACTCCACAGGCTCTTAATATTACTACTCATGTTCTCAAGCCTGGTGGAAACTTTGTGGCGAAGGTAGGGGGATGAGAACTACTTTGTGATTATTCTGTAACATTTTTGGCCATGGTAGTAAACCGATATTCTTGTGTTGATACTTCCCCGGGCAGATTTTCCGAGGCAAGGATGTGACTCTGCTCTATTCCCAGCTGAAAATCTTTTTCTCCACCGTCACGTGTGCCAAACCAAGAAGCAGCCGGAACTCCAGCATTGGTAAGCAAGTGTCCTGGTAAACATAATAGGGCGGGCATCTTCAGTTCAATTACTGCTGTTGTTGCAAAGGCAGTTTGCATTATTTGCTACATTTGGAGAATACCAGCTTAGTACACTGCCTCACAATGTGCAAGTGTTACAGCAGTTTTGTTTGTAACTTTAAAAAACTAAGTTATAGACTTCTTTTCATAGAGTTACAGTTATAACCAAAAAAGCAAAATCTTGGTTTATAGTCTTGGGCAAAAAAAACAGAATGGCTATCTTGTTTTTGTTGTTTTCTTGAATGCAATGTTCACTACTCCATCTAAGTTCTGTGACAGTAGTCAGCTATTTTTGTAACACACATGGTCTTCTAATGTCTGTTGCACAATAGATGTAGGTAGTTTTTTTAACCCTGTGTATGCCAGACTGCTCTGTACTTCAGCAGTGGTGCTGTTTTCAGTGTCTGAGTTTTGGGCATGTGGGCAAGTTTCAGACTGTATTTATGATTTTTTTTCCGTAACCGATGCCTTAAAGAAAGCTGAAGCTCTCTTGACTAGGTTTCTTGAAAAGCTTAACTCGAAATGAAAGAGGTAATTTGTACTAGAATAACAATTAAACTTGTCCTCATGTTTGGATAATATGCCAGTTGTTTTCAATTGGTTTGAAATATTAGAAGAAATAATGTATCAAAATAAGAAGAACTTCTTGTCTTTAATTAGTAGCGAATAATCATTGAATTTGCATGAGTCAATGCAGGTAGCACAACATTTAATGAGAAGAATATTTAATGAAGAATATTATTTTAAAAACTATAGAATAACAAAGCTTTCTAATCCTGATTGTCATGTGCCTCTGTCTTCTGTGCTTAACCAATTGAATCACCAATCAGAAGACTATTGGTTGAAAACTAACTTTGTTTTAAACCAAGCTGAAGCCGTATTTCCTGAAAATAATGCACAAGAAAAAAGGCATTGAAACTAAGATCTGATGACAGAAAACACTTAAATTATCTAAAACTCAATTATCAAAATTAATAGTTTAGTCATTTTAACTGTTTGAGGGCTGAGATGGAATGAAAATCAGTAGGTAAAGGAGTACTTCAGGACTAGGACCGGGAAATAACGCAGAAATAATCCTTTAACAGCTAAAATAGAAAGAAATCCCTCCAGAGGTGTTTGTAGTGTCGGAGCTGCAGGTACAGTAGAGATTGAATTTACAGAACTCAAGTAGAAAGTGAAACTTAACATTGCTGTCTGTTTGAATGTGTCTTTTAAATCCTTGGGGCTTGAAGAACTTCAAAGGGTATCAAACTCTAAAACTGAAATGCAATGATAGGGTACTGTATTTGTATGCAATATATAGATTCTTTTTACTGAGAACTACCTTTGTACTACATACAGTTAGTGTGTGAGTTAGGTGCAGAAAATACAGTACTAGTGCAGGCAGATCAAAGCAAGTGTCTTACAGCACATACAACTGTCAGTTACAGGCCACTGACTACAGTTTTGCTGGTGCTGCATTTACATTTCAGACAGTCAATGTTCGACAGTCTGACTCTTTGAATAGTTTTTGGTAAAATATTTTTTTGACTACAAGCACTACTGTCGATCATGTGCAGTACATCTTTTATGTTAAATATTAATATTCCATTACAGAGCCTGTGTGTGTTTTTTATGCATTTGATTTAGGCAAGGCCTGGTGTAGAAGCTCATGCAGAACTGCACTGCAATTTATTTCCGTGTGTTTCTTCTGCAGAGGCATTTGTGGTATGCCAGAACTACTCTCCCCCTGAAGGATATGTGCCAAACATGTCTAACCCTCTGCTGGATCACTGCTACGGTAGCCCTCTTGCCGCTTCTTTACTTGTTGTTCCTTTCAGCTGCATGTTGAATATCCACATTTCTTGCTATTTTTGAACTACTGTCTGTACTTCATTTCTTGGTGATAGAGAGATACACACCTTGAACAACAGTCTCACAGACATTTGCTTTTACATCCTGTTTAGCAGTAGATAGGGATCGATTATGCCACTTAGTGACATACAGATTGTACCTCACAGACCAGCACTGTGTCTGCCTGGTGTTTCGGAACTCCTGTGTATATTACCTTCAAGGATTTCAATGCAACCAGTGTTGTAAAGCTTATTTATAAACCTCTGCTTCTTATTCCGGGAACCTAAACTGACCACAGGCTTTATTCGCTGTGCACTAACAGTGTACAATAAAAGTTTGTTTTTCATATAAGATTGTGTTTGAGAATTAAAGCAAAATGGGGTTTTTACTGGGTCTCCAAAATACCCCATATATAATATTATTATGGTGTATCATGGTAGAAGCAAAGGGTTTTAGAGCACATTGAAATCTTAGTCAGAGAATACATCATTAGGAAGAATGGCAAAGCTTCAGAAAGCCTCAGGGAAAATAACAAGGAAGTTGGGATTAATCCGGGAAAACTTTCGTTATGGTGACCGAAAGATGGCTGTAGAATCAGATTTTGTGCTGGGTAAGGGGTGTATTTTAAAGGACATCAGGAGGATAATTGTCTTGTTTCACTTTCCTGTCTTTTTAGATGTGGACTTCAACCAGGTTGAAGGTCCAAACCGTGTCATTGTGCCCTTCCTTGCTTGCGGAGACCTGAGTGCTTATGATTCAGATCGAACTTACCCTCTCCAGGTAGTTAAGCACCCATTTTGTGTTCTTCTTTCTCAGTTTTATATAGCCTTGAGACCGGTGATCTACAGTTGGAGAATCCTGGCCCTTTAGTTTTCTAAAAGCCCTAGACAAGTGGCTACACATGTTGAACAATTGAGCCAGTAACTGAGTCAGTAAAGCAACTGAGGGATAGGCTGGAATGATAGTTACGGTACCCCTTGTCTCTTCAGGGCCAGAGCTGGATTATTAAACTATGTATTAAAGTATATGGCATCTGCCCAAGACTTCTGTTTCAGATCACCTTAAAGAAGGAAAAGCTACAAAAACACCCAAAAACATTTACAGCAAATACTATTTAAGTTTAGAAAACACTCAAAGAAGCAGTGGAAGTGTATGAAGCTTACATGAAGCTAATGTGAGTAATCAATGGAAGTTTTTGTTTGCCTTGGGACCGTATCCTAAGGTCGCATGTTGACTTTTGAAAATTGGATTATGACAAGGGGTGCTGTCTTTCCAACAATACCTAAAGCGTCTGCAGCATGTACATGCAGAATTGTTACGTGGAATAATTGTGTGTTCACTGTGGAAACACTTAAGTGCTTCATGCAATATTTTATAATTTAGTCAGATAGTACATTAATGTTAAGGGTGTAAAACTGTATGTTTTAATACTGCCTTAGGTAAGAGCTTCAGCTTTTCTCTCTCCTACAGCTGGATCCCAGTAAAGAATATCACTACCTGCCTCCTACACAGCTGCCAATCCAGCCTCCCTACCAGCAAGCCTGTCATCTGCGCAAACACAACCTGTTGGCCAAGGAAGATGTTTCTTCCACCCCACGGGAAGGATCCAGCCCTACGCATGACCTGTCCTCCAGTCAGCTGGAGAGATCCCCGACACCCCCTTGTACATCACCAGACTTGGCCAATCCAGATCAAGCACAGCAGGGACTGTTGTAATAACAGAGGGACTCATTCAGGTTTGTAGAGGACAGTTGATGTCAGTTTTTATTTTATCCTACAAATCCCTGGAGAAGGCAATAGGTTTGGGGTGCATTACCTGTACAGACATGAATGGAAGAACAATAATGGAAGAAGGACCTGAGGATAACAGGGCTGTGATTTTGGGTGGGTATTTCAGAATTTGTATTAATTGGTTAAAAGCGTCCTTCAGGTGTTTAAGGTAGTCTTTTTAAAGTTAAAAGTGAAGGGTGTTATTCTAAACAGCGGTATCAGATTGGGTTTGTCTTTGAACCATGGAGAGTACACCATTTATAGGCAATTTTATCAGACACAGGCAGGACAACACTTTTAATACAATGTTTTTGTGACTAAAAAAACAGCTGTTTTATTCTGTTTATGTGGAGTTTTTCAGATACAAGTATTGCTTTTTAAAAACAAAAGCATTGGAGTTTAAAGTTAACATTAACTTCCTTCACTGAAAAAGTTATTTGAAATAATTAGCACCTCACATTACTGTAACAATGCAATGTAAAAATACAGAAGTATTTTAAATCATTTTTGCATTCTTTCCATAGAAACAAGTAAGTTCTTCATGTGTGATATCATCCAACAAAGGCTTCTGATAAGAAGCTAAATACCATAGACTCAGATTAGTCTGTGCACATGATTTTATTTGTAAATTGTTTTCTGTTTTGTTTTTAACTTATGTATTCGTTTTATTTTTGAATACCAACAAAATTTAAATAAAAAAGACGCTAAAACCATTCATGTCTTAATGACTGGCACCTGCAAGTACAGTATATGCAAAAGATTACAGTTTATTAAGAAGATTTGAAACAAAATAAAAGAAGAACCAACAAATAATAGATCTTGGGGGAACTGAACTCAGAACTGTTTGCCTTCATAGAAATTCGCCCTCCTTGAGGAAAGCTGGTATGAAGAAAACCCGGAAAGGCTAGTGTAGCTTTGGTGCATGCCTTTATGTGACACAGGTTGCATGAGTAGGTAGACAGCAATAGAATTGCAAAGCTGAGGCCATGTCAGACAGTAGCAGTAGCCCATATAGATATCCATAGAGGAGCCAGTAGGGATCAAGGCATTACATTCTTTGAGTTATCAGATGAATGGACAATGGCAAAGCTGGAAATCATTGGGTGTTTCATAAAATGCCAGAGCTGTATTGCCAGCATCATGCTATTGGCAGGCTTCATGAAGATACCCTGGATCCTGGTGTAGCAGGGGTAGTCTCAATTATCGGCTTGGAGCAGTAGTAGAAGGAGAGGATGGCTGTGCTCACCATGATGGAGAACATTAGGTCACCATGAGGAGGCAGTAGTTTGTTCAGCAGGCTCATACACTGTACATGTCCACAGGTAGCAGGTTATCTGATGGGCTCTACTGGACAAACACAAGACTATGATCTCCTAAGCTGTCCAGTGGTGTATTTTAGTTAGGTCTTCAGCAGAATGTAGAAGCTGACAAAAATATATATTAAGATATATATTTTCAAGGTGTATTTTCAAAATATCCTGTCTTTAAGATTAAAAACATTTAATCTTAAATGACAGGATATTTGTTTAAAAAACATTTTAAATCAAGCATTCCTTTGTGCACGAACAGGTAAAAGTTTATTCCATGCCGAAAAGAAAAGAAACACAATGTTTCTTCTGTGGAGCCTTCTTTAGGTGTTGAAGGAGGCTCCACATCTGAAACATTGACTCTTTTCCTTTCAGTATAAAGTAACCTTTACCTCCTTCCTTTACCTCCTACTCTATTGCCACCTGCATATGCTGATGCAGCTACCTACTTAAAGTCCTTTTGTGTGTTATTTAAAAAAATAGGAACACCTTTTGACCGCTTATAAAGATTTCTGTTTTAGTGCAAAATGCTTTCCAAGTGTTTGATATCAAAGGAATGCGTGGAGTCTGTGTTTGGAACCATATTTATTTTGCATTTACCTTCAGAAAGAACATTGCAGAATGCTTTTTAATACCAACCTGTAAGTACAGAACAAATTAGGGACATTCATAGAATTAACATATGCAAATCAATGTAATTTTAGGTTAGAGAAAAGGAATAGCACTTGTGCTCTGACCTGCAATTACTTGTCAATCAATTTTGAATTTGGTAGTCAAGTCCAGAATTGTGAGAGAGATGCACATTGGCTTCCTGCATTGAGCAAATGCCACCACTCAGTTCTGTCAAAACTTATATTTCTGTTCATTCTGTAGAACTTTCTTGCAGAGCCTCTGGATACCATAAATAACCTTACACCAATCTTTCTTAATATATTTTGTGTTTTTTAATTTGTCATGCTCTGGACTGCAATTCGAATTAATTAAAAAAATAAAATTTTTTGAAGCCTGGTGGTGTATGAAGGAATGCTGTTGTTTCCTGAGCAATGTCACTCTCAGGATGCTGCACCCAGCATTGTATAACATTGTGGCCTTAATTTATGTGGTAAAGGGGGCATTCATAAATTGTACTAATACTTCCTACAATACCTTTTTCAATGGACTTACTGTACGAAGGCTGGTACCACTCTAGTTCCCTCTTCCTCTGTGTTATTGTGTTCTATTACGTACCAGTCACTTATTCACCTTAAAATAATCACTTTTGCACCAACACTTGTTATCACGCTTCCTAAATCCCTCACCAGAAACCCACCTGCATCCAAAAACTATCCTTAATTTTACACCTCTTTACCTATAGACACTTGGGGTTGTAACACAAACTAATGTTTAGTGAATTTCTGGGCCCGGAATTTATTTGTCCTGTATCTGAAAGATAGCCTGTCCCACTGAATGAACACAAGCCATTAGAAATTCTTAAAGTACATCAATTAATTCCCTAGTCTCTTAAATAATCCTAAGAAATGTTGTAACATTATTAAATTTATGGTGGAAAAAAACAATTTACCTGTCATATACCAGTTTTAATGGCTTAGGAAAATAATGTTGTCACATAAAAATAAACGGTTAGTTCACTTAATGAAAATTTCATTCTGGTAGTAGATTGATAGCCAACTATAATGCTCATTCAGTTGAGTTTGAGTGTTCAGGACCCTTCAGTTTTATGATGCTGAGAGGTAATGAATCGGAAGTACTAGCTGAGCTTTGTAAAAACTGGCTGTACTAATTCTTCTGGTCATAATAGTATTGAAGCATTTTTTCCCCACTTTTTATGTCATCTGCTCCACTGACTTACTGTGCTCAATCTCTCTTTTAGAAAAGCTGAATTTCCAGAAAACTGGAAATTTGTCTTTTTTCTGCCTCTTTCTAAGGGGGAGATAAAGTACATGAGATATAAGAGACCCTAACCACTGTAGACCTACAGTGGCTATGAAAAGTATTCACCTACCTTGGATTGTTTCACATTTTACTGTTACAATGTGGAATCACAATCACAATAAAATAAGAAATCCAAGGTGGTGGATACTTTTCATAGCCACTGCATATCCATTTTGCCTTTGCCTTTATAAGATCACAGAAAAAAATAATAAGCATTTAAGTCTTATTGGGAGATTACAGATCAGTGTGGAAAATGACGTTAGAGATTTTTCATTGGGAAAATAATTCCCAGTTTGGTTTACAATTATTTTCACCATCCTACAATTTACAATGTACTTTTGTCAATGGGTGCTCCACAAGAGTAACCACAGATTTTGAATGCATGTTATTTCAATTTGCTACTGCCAGTGACTGGAACAATCGAGTAAGTAGGCAAATATCTTTCTTTCCATCTGAGAGACACAATTGTATGAAATCATCTTTTCCGCCTGACTGTTGCATTTGTTAATATCTTGTTGCCTGTTTTATTTGATAGTTCTTTTAATGTTTTGTCTTCCTTTCAACATTGGTGTAAGCTTCTTGGCCAAGCAATTACTATAAATGATGATTTGTATTCTTGACTGACTTATGTAGTCATTTAAAGGATTATTTGTTCCATGAGAGTAGTTTATGTCTTAAGCTGGATCTTACAAATGATTACAATTTACAATTTAAGTAAGTGCAAAACTCTTCACATACAAATCCAAGATGTGATGTAAAATTCTAACAATCAAACAGATAAACAACATGTCAACAAACACAATGTGGAACTCTTAATCAGATACACAGTTCTTTATTATAGTACATTATAATAAATAATTATCTGAAACATAATTTGAACAACAGAAAAGACCTATGTCATAGGTACAAGTACAACAATGTGAGTAGCTGGATGAGTTGTCAAACCAAATCTGGAGGTAAACCCATAATCTCAATTACCAGAAGATTTTGAACAATTCTTTTAGGTTATTTTGCTTGAACGGATTCAAAATGAAAACTTTGAATTTTGGTGGAAGTTTCCCTGTTGAAAAAAAGACAAAGTTAATAGAAATGCTAAAATAAATATGCATTTCCTTATTTCCATACATATTTCCTTATTTCCATAACACAATTCATTCCTGAATGTATTGTCATGGTGACCAGAAACTGTAAAATATTACAGGTGTACAAAAGAGTCTCCTTCTATAAGCCTCTCTGAAACTTACCAATATAAAGAGGCTAGTGCTGTCTACATTAATTCAAAGTCCATTGAGTATAAGAAGACCCAGGTGGAAATCCAAGTGCTAGAACTATTCTGGCATCTCTTCATGACTGCATCATGTTCACCAGAGGTTTGTCCCATTCTGTAGATTTGGATGTCATTTGCTTTTTGAGATTAGCAGAATGAATTCAGAAAATACAAAACACACAAAAGCTGATCTGTGCCATAACTGTAAATAATGGCCCAGGCCAAAAGCCAAGTTTAATAATAGACTCTGATGTCTTGGTCTTGAACTCAGCTTTTCATTTTCAATTGAATGACTTGGAAAAGGACATTAGCTGCACAATTCTCTGGTTGGTTAGACCAGCTCTTGTTGTAACCCTGGAAAACGGCAAGTGAAAAAATAAATGATATATTAAAAATAAGGGAAGTTGTCTTTACTGTTAGCCTTAAAAATGACCATTTTTAAAAAGAACAGTTAGATTTTGCAAGGTTTTCCAGAAAGTCAACATCAATCATGTCTTCTCCAGTATTCATCTTCTCCACTGACCAATCAGGGATCTTCTAACCTTAAGTGTCCAACAGCTACCTGACTTCTGGAGTGATGCTTATTTGCATTCCTACTATTTTGTTAATATGACGCATATTACAGAAGATAAATACAGAAATGGATTGGATAATATAAACATTTTTTTCTCCATTAGTTTTTCAGTTATTTCTGTGCTTATACTGTATATTCTCTCCATTTAATCAGTATAATAATGGGTGTGTATTGCATGGACAAGATAGGTTAGAAACAGTTTCCTCCTTGTACAAAACAGAGGGAAACATTAGAGACCACTGCTGTTGCAAATGCTGTGCTCGGTGCTTGATCACGTATTCATAATTCATGCTGTCTCTTTTGTGGATAGACACATAATTGGTGCTGAAAAATTAAAGAACCACCATTATGCTGAAGTTTTGGGCACTAGTGATCATTCAACAAACTTAAATTTGCAGCCGCTAGCTGGATGTGTTTTCTCAACATTCCTACATTGAAAAGGAGAGGGAAACCACTAATTTGGCTAATATTAACCCTTCATATCATTGCAATTACTAGATAGCTACTGTACTTAACCATTCTGTTAACTAATAAGACAATAAGAATGGCTGCAAATTAGAAAAGGCTCTTTCCCTTTTTAATTAATTTGGTTATAAGTAGCTAATCATTCCCTGAATTTAATTTTTTAACACCTTCTGAAGGGTGATATGGGCAAATAGGAGTCCAGACTTTCTTAGTGGCATCCACTATCATTTGTATAAAGATCTGCTTCTTTTTTGGACCTGAAAATGTCTGCTATTATTAAACTGCATTCTTTTTTTTGTTGTTGTTGCACTTGGAGTAATCCCCTAGGTTGATTTGATCATTACCTTTAAGTTATTGGAGAGTGAGTGTGGTCATTCTTCCTTAAACACTCATGGGGGGGGGCAGCCAAATTGATTTTGTAGTGCAAGAATAAAAATTCTACTAAAATATACATTAAATATCACGTGAAACCAAATTAAATAAGGTGGCTTAAGAGGTCTGCGCACATTAAAAACTCAAAATTACTTGAAGACTACAGTGAGTTTTTATCAACATCACAATGACACACACCCAAAAATGTACTATTCTAAACCCAATCACCAACTAACACCATGAGGATCTTTATATACTGTATTCAACATTCTCACATTCATACGCCAGAATGTTTCTTGTAACCCTTCAGTCATCCAACTCATTCATTAATCTTCACCCACCGTTTCCATTTACGGTGATTAGAGGTTTTAATTTTTTTTCTAACCCACCCTACCACATGCTTTCCTTAAAGCTTTAATGTCACTTCCCATGCTGAAATGTTTATAGACCAGTCATCATTAAAAAGTAAATATTCCCCTTTTCTAAAGTTGTCTTTGCCATGAAAGGGATTGCCAAGGAATCTAGAGTGTACAGCAGTACTTTAAGATCCTTGCAGGATATTGTGTTTGAAAGGATATCTGTGCCTGTGGACCTTGGCACAAGCCATATCCCAGGTAAGAGAAGTCTTTGACTTCTACTTCTCAGAATTTCTTTTGCGGTCCCTGCACTCTGTACTGTGCACTCTGCCTTGAATATGGGCCATTTTTTCCCATGCACACAACAGTTTGCTCATGTGGGTCTCTTCGCCCTTTACATTGTATTGTACAGTGCACAACTACTTTACTTAGGAAATTTGAAGATAAACCTAAAACTGCAAAAAGAAGGCACTTACAGTCCTAAGAAGCTCAGAGTTTCCTACAACATACTACCCAGCTGTGTTGTTTGGCTCATCTCTATTATATTCTTTAAGGTTCAGTGATTGACTATTAGAAGTGAAACAAGCTGATCAGCCTTCATTTTTCTAAACGTTCTTGTTTTTATCCCAAAAGGAAACACTTTAGGATGGAATAGAGGTCCTAGTATTAGATGGCCTAATGCTTTTGGTGGTCTTCAGCTGTGTGCTTGTTTTCTGGTACCCTGAGGCAGGTGAGGCAGGGGTATTGATCTACGACCTGGCTGTAGATGTACAGAAGTTCCTTCCAGTGTGTCTTCTTGCCATAAACAAGAATGAAGGAGCTGGCAGCAGTGTAGATGGAGGAGAAGAGAGTGGTGAGAGCCATCACGTTCTCTGCGTAAATGGCATTATAGTACTGTACACATATATCGACTGCCACAAAGCAGAAGAAGACACCCATGAGGGCCAGCGTCATCCGGATGACCCTCATCTCTGAGCCCAGTTTGGGAGTGTGAAAACCATTGGTACTGGCCTTCATGTGGCGAAGGTGAATGGCCAGATGGACAGTGATTGAGATGCTGGACTTGATCATTAGCAAACCTGGGATGATGTCGGAAGCTAAGAGATAGAAGCCGAGGTAGAATTTCCCAGGAGAGTCAGAAGGAATCAGTGCCCCGCAGTCCTTGAAGACCCGGGTGTCGTTAGCAGAGGAAATAACAGAGACCATAGGGACACAGCTCACGAATCCACAGAGTGGAATGATGAGCACCACAGTGGTGGTGTGCTTCAGGAATGCATCCTGGATCCTGGTGTAGCAGTGAATGGGCTCAATCACCAGCTTGGTGCTGTAGAAAAAGGAGAGGAAAGCGGTGCTCCACACAATGGAGAACTTCAGGCTATAGATGGTCACCATAAGGAGTGAGTAGAAGAGATCCCCCAGGAAACAGTCAGGGTCCAGGTTGTCCATGGTCATCCACAGGTAACAGATGATCTGATGCGCACCACTGCACAGACACAAGGCAGTGATGATGATCTCACAAGGTGCCCAGTGTCCGTTTTTGCGGTAGGTCTTCAGGTTCATCAGGAGGATGTAGAGGTTGAAGAAGATAGTGAGCACTGCCACGAAACCGGTCAGCAACCAGATGGTGAATATCACTTCATTCAAAAGCATACTGGTGTCTTCTTCAGTGTGTCTCAGGCACGGGGAGGTGATCGAGTTCAAGCCTGTCTGCCAAAGAAAAAAATGTATGAGAACAGGCTCTTTCACATGTGTTGGAGTTGATAATGTGCGCCAGAAACTGCATGTAGCTAACATAAGCTACAGTATTTCATAAAGCTATCAGTTTTGATTTAAGGGATGTAAATTCAGAAATGTTAGATGAAGAAAAATGGGTATCCAAAAGGCTTTTTAATTTTTTTTACTCATATTAAATTATTTTCCATAATGTACTTGGGCAAAAAACTCCCCCCAAATACTTTCTCATTTTCAGTTGTTAGTATGTGTACTTTATAAAAATGCATTAATTGCATTTGAAAATGACTTGAAACAATTTTCTGAAAAGTGCTCAAACATTCCAATATTTACCATGGGTTTTAGTTTGACCACTCAACACATGCACATGCAAGAAATGTCCAGCAGGGGGAGAAATAAGACTAAGAAATACATTTCACCCAGGGAAGAGTGATTCTTTGCAATCATATATTTTCTTTGTATATATAACATAATGCATTCGTGTTATATATACAAAGGTCAGTTGTCTTGGCTAAGCTTTGATTATAGCAGCACATGGAAACTTTCTAAGATAAAACGTGTGCCAGCAATCATAACATATCCAATGTGCATTGCTTATTATTTGTTGTAAAAATGATATTAATTATATGAATGTCTCTTATGCCTGATTGGGGCCTAAAAGCATTCTGTGCATCTGTTTTTTAAATTCCTTTGAGAATGGGAGCATCTGGCTTTGCACTAACCCGAAAGCCACTTATTTAGGGAACGTAACGCAGAACACACACACAGTGTTTACGGAATATAATTAACCCAGCGAGCATGTCTCGTCATTTGACTTGCTTGAATGTTTTCAGTTCTTCTACAGGTTGGGGACTTTTAACTATTGTATTTAATAAGTAAATACCTGATCTTCTGGGTAAAAAAAATGCTAATATTAATTTATTTTTTATTCATTTAAATAAGGCTAGAATGAAAAGCAATAAATGTGTAATGTGATGTCTGCTTACACTTGCCTTTAGTCAATTATCTTTTCCAGTTAATAAAATAATTTCCAAACCAAGATTTTTCTCAGCCACATCAATCTCTTACTGGTGTGAAATGTTTCTGTTGTCTGTGAAAACATTAAAACATTTTGTATACTAGATATACAAAATAAATAAATATTTATTATTTATTAATATTTATGTTTATATGATTTATAATCTACATGGTTTATATTATATTAACATTATTTATACATGTATTATATTTGTTATGTATTATTTTTTATTAATTTCGCAATGGTATAAATAAGTACTGTATGTAAATAAAATACATATTTATTTACACCATTTGAAATTTTCTCAAAATTTCCAAACTTCAGATTAACGTTTTGCTCCATAAACCTCTTTTCGGTACTTACTGTGATTATTGTTTGATTTTTCTGTTTTTAACCTTTCAAAATATTTCTTTTTTGTTGGTGCATCCTATGAACATCACCCCCTAGGTAGTTGGAACAAGCTGTTGATGAGTTTAAAATGAGGGAATTGTAAAAAATAACCTCAGAGCTTCTTGTTCTGCCGAATATCCTTCGTCTAGTCTTGTCTTTCAGATGCACTCTATATCCTCAGGTCCATTAGAAGATGGATGAGAGTAGCATTCTATTTTTCTTAGTTTTGTCTCTCTCGTCTTTTGTAAGCCAACAAACAAAACATCAAGGATATGTCACAATCTGTATTGGCCACAAAGTAAATTCAGTTTAAAGTAGGTCCATGATACCAGGTATTTTGACATACTGTAAGCTGTTTGACATGCTGTTGTCCACTGAGCAGCACAGGAGCTGAGTGGCTAGAAGGTCTTCTTCCTAAAGTCCCACAGTTGTTTTGAGAAAGAGAAGGTTTTTCAGAAAAAAATATATTGTTAAAATGTAGGAGAATGAGGCATGTCCCAGAGACCTTGCTAGGGTGTAGAGCTTGAGCAATGTACTTCAAAGCACTTAAAAGGTTTTAAAGATGGTTTTGTACTGTATTTGGATAAAAGGGGTGTGCACAGTTTTTTTTGGAAAAAAGGAAGCTCACTTGGTTTGGGATTGGATTTGCTTTGGTATGTCAAAATAAGCAAACCAAGGTCACAGGAAAGACAGTTGTGTGGAGAGACTGAGGCCTTATTCAAACAACGTCACCTGAATCGGCAATACCCAAACTTTTAATATGACTTAGCAGAGGTCAGATTCTCATCAGAGGAAGAGCTGACAGCTGCAAATTGTCCACCATCCTGCGCCACCTCTGCTGTGAGAGCTGCCTCCGGCTTCCAAATTTGAATGTCTAAAAATTCCCTTGTGATCGAAGATTTTCTTTTTTGCCATAGTCAGAGTGGAGTAGAGCTTGAGTGCTATACAAAACAGTCATATAAGAAACTAAAATATTTAAATGCAGCTTTAAACAAGTTATTTGGAAACATTGTATGTGCTTTCACTTGGATTGGCTTGCTTATAAAATATTAAATCAACAAGAATTTTGAATTAGTGTTGTATAAATTGCACTTTAATAAATGATAGATCATGTGATTTATTTAAAGTTTTCCTGTGGTCGACAAAAACAACACAGACAAAAGAGGTAAAATCTAGCTATGAATAAACCACTCAGCTCCATGTTCACACATTGTTAATTCACTGCGCGAATGCTGAAGTGTTTTAAAATGAGATAACAGGAGGCAAGGGGTGTCAAGGAGAGGAGGTAGAACACTTATCAAAGCATTAAGTATAACATGATATGCAGGTGGGAAGGAAAACTTTGCAAGACAGCAGAAGGATATCATTTGTGATCCCAGTTTATTTCCTTGACAGAAATGTCTTGGTTCTGTTAGATTTCAGTTTGGGAACTTGTGATTGGTGAACAGACTGACACGGACACCTTTATAATGCCAGATCTGTTGGTTTTATGGATCACTCTACACAATCATAAAACATCTGAAATTAACTAATGAAAATCACCAAACAACCAAACCATGGAGGCTGACTATACAACTGAATTCCCAGCCTTACTTTTTTCTTACTAGTGTTTCAACTCTTTATTATTTTTTTACAGAACACGTATTGATTTTAAATATCCCACTAAATAAAACAAAGTTGCATTCAGCTAAATATTTTTAAAAGTAAATAAAAAAAAAGGCAGTGGTCTGAAATGTGCAGTGAAGCTGAGGAAGTCATCTCAATTGCTTATTAAAATATTTACATAATGTATAATATACAAACCAAAACAGATTAGAAGACCTTTATTATCTGGCATTTTCATTTGGCAATATTACTTCACAGCCTTCCCCCAGTAAAAAGAATAAGACACACATACAAGTACTGAAAATACAATAAATACAACATAAAATCCTAACAAATACTGTACATTATACAATATTACAATGCTTCAGTACATTTGAACAATTATGGGATTGCAGATGCAACCAAAGTGGTCTTTTGACCATTTAACAGTGTTATTGTTCAATATTATGGCTGCAGGAATAAAAGAGCTTTCATGTCTGTTGGCATTTATCTTATGCTGCAAAAGATGTCTGATCCCCTATCAGCTGTATCTACACAACCTGCTATAAAGGAGATGACTTACAACTCACATGATCAGTTTTGCCTTTTTTTTTAAGATTTTAAGAATGAGAATATGTAATAAGATTATAAACACACTTGTATGAAACTGACTGTTCTTCCAAAATACAGTCTTGCTAATGTACTTTTCAACTGCTTAAAACGCCTCAATTGCAATAAATCAGATGTTTTGAATCAGCAGTAGAACAGCACAATGAAAGAAGGTATTTGGAGCAGCTGACATTGCCTAGTCTTCTAACCCATCTACTGTATCTGCTCCAGGGATTCCAGGGAAGTGAAGGATAGTTTCTTAGTCCTCCCTTGCTCATTTTGCTGTAAGAGGGAATCTTTCCTCTCCTGATTTGCATTCTGTGCTACGACCTTGCAGTGACATTCGGGCTGAACCATGTTCTCTGTGGCCAGGCCATTTGCATTGTGGGTAATCTCTGTGGTGATCTTCCTTGAAAAACCTGTCTGTCAGTCACGAACCATAGGTAGGCACACCCTTCTGCCCTTCCAAAACAGAACCATGCCCTTGAGTACTCAACATGCCATTTTTTGATGTGACCATGTGGAAACATTAAAGACATACAGTATGTTATGTAACACACATTTTATTAAATTTAACGATAACTGTTCACGAATATTATATTGTGTTCCTTTTTTTCCCATACTGTATATTTCACTGCTCATGACCTTACCATACTCCAATCTTTAGTACATACAGTAATGCAATTGATACTGAGTGACTTTGGATAAAGACATTTGTAAAATGAATAAAAGATAAGAAAAAGGACATGCACTTTGTAAATGTTGAGAAGTTTCTTGTATTCATATTTACTGTTTTCCATTGAGTTGTGTAAAATATCTCAAACTGAAGTTATGAGGACTATGTGGAGAACATTAAGAAAAAAACTCTCCTTCAGTAGCAAGGTTCAGTCCACTTCTCTTTCTTTAATTGAAAATGTGTTGTTCAAAAACAGGTAATAAGTTAAAATCATGGTTTTAAAAGCTATGCAAGTACTTTCAACTTTGCATTTAAATTTCCCTTCATTGCTGTCTTCTCTTTGTCTTAGATCTCTTCCCCTTATGTGATTGATGTTCTCTGCTTTCTCGGCTTTCTTTAAATTGTCTCTTAAAAAGACATTCAAGCTGTTGAAGGCAAATACTGTGAGCTTGTGTTTTCTCAGAGTGGTTTCTGAACAAGCAAAAACATGCTGGGCTCACCGTTGGCTTGTGGTTACCAATCTTTACGGTTGACATTGTGCTGACAGGACCATAAGTAAGGACTTATGTTGACAAGACCACAAATGTTCTGTGACTTACTCATTCTTTCTGTGCTTATCTACTTAAATAGAAGCGTTGTCAT